TTTCGCCATCTTACTAATGGGAAAGATGGTCGTCACATGCACACAGTCCAGTATGGCCAGGAGAATTTTGGTCAATCGTAGAAGGTCAGAGAAGTTGTAGAAACCAAAGTAGATGAGATTCCTAGCTAAATTTACAACCTATTATATTAAAACGAGAGAGAGTGAGAGAAAGATGGTATTAGGTCAACTGCATCCTTTAGTTCCATTTTATGCTAATTTATAAATGTCTGATTCTGACCCTTCTTATGGTAAGAGGAGACATACATTTTGCTTGCATTTCTGATCAAATTCCACTTTGTTTCCTAAGGAGAAAAAATAAGAAACAAAAACCTGCAAAGCTACTGATCTGTTTTAATAACTAGTTGATAAAAAACTGACATAATCATCTGTGGAGTGTGGATGGAACTGGAGGATATTATGCTAAGTGAAATTAGTCAGAGAAAGACAAAAATCATATGACTTCACTCATATGAGGACATTAAGAGACAAAACAGATGAACATAAGGGAAGGGAAACAAAAAGAATATAAAAACAGGGAGGGGGACAAAACAGAAGAGACTCATAAATATGGAAAACAAACTAAGGGTTATGGGAGGGGTTTTGGGAGGGGGAGGATGGGATAAATGGGTAAGGGGCACTAAAGAATCTACTCCTGAAATCATTGTTGCACTATATGCTAACTAATTTGGATGTAAATTTTTTTAAAAAATTTAAAAATTATAAATAAATAAATAAATAAATAAATAAATAAATAAATAAAGATATTGCAGGGCAAGCCACATTGCAGCCCAACAGGACACAGAAAACAATATTGCAATCCTTGGAAATAGACTCCTCAAAAGGAAAACTGGTCTCAAAAAGAAACATTTTAAGTCAAAGGTAATAAGGATTTGTGTCCCTCAAATGATAATCTATGATGGATCCCAAGCATAGTCTGTTTCTTTCCTGTTGTTTTTAAGATCACGTACAGAGTATACGTAATGTTCTATCATTTTATGTAATTCAATTAACCCTGGATATTTATTCTACCAGCATAACTACCAGTAAGTCAAGCGACTGATATTCGTTCTATTTTCTTGTGAAACAAAATTGAGCTCAATTCTTTTTTATTACAAAACTGGAGTATCATCACAGAAATCACTACATGCTAAAATATTTTCTATTTATCCCAGAGAAAAATGACCAATGAAAAGCAGGTAAAACATATAGATTATTTCATCATGAATTACCTCAAATGTAAGCTTATTTTTCTCCTTATCAGAGAAAGGAAACCTCTGACAAACCACATCTCTTAAATACTCCTCCACAAATTCCATGGTCTGAGCAAACCTCTCCTTAATTTCATCTTTGGAAGCTCCGCTACTATCATAGCTAAAAGGAAAAGAGAAAGAAAAGGAAATCAGGGGCGCCTGGGTGGCTCAGTCGGTTAAGAGCCTGACTTCAGCTCAGGTCACGATCTCATGGTTCATGGGTTCAAGTCCTGCACTGGGCTCTGTGCTGACAGCTCCAGAGCCTGGATGGAACCTGCTTTGGATTCTGTGCCTCCCTCTCTCTGCCCCTCCCCCGTTTGCACTCTGTCTCTCTCACTCTCCAAAATAAATACATATTGGGAAAAAAACACAAAGAAAATGAAATAAAAGTTCAAGATCCTGGGGCCCCTGGGTGGCTCGGTTAAGTGTCTGACTTCAGTTGAGATCATGATCTTGCAGTTTGTGAGTTGGAGCCCTCTATCAGGCTCTGTGCTGACAGCTCAGAGCTCAGAGCCTGGAGTCTGCTTCAGATTCTGTGTCTCCCTCTCTCTCTGCCCTTCCCTTGCTCACACTCTCTCTGTCAAAAATAAACATTTAAGGGGGCGCCTGGGTGGCGCAGTCGGTTAAGCGTCCGACTTCAGCCAGGTCACGATCTTGCGGTCCGGGAGTTCGAGCCCCGCGTCAGGCTCTGGGCTGATAGCTCAGAGCCTGGAGCCTGTTTCCGATTCTGTGTCTCCCTCTCTCTCTGCCCCTCGCCCGTTCATGCTCTGTCTCTCTCTGTCCCAAAAATAAATAAACGTTGAAAAAAAATTTTTTTAATAAATAAATAAAAATAAATAAAAATAAAAAAATAAACATTTAAAAAAATTTAACAAAAAAAAAGTTCAGTATCTTCCCTGTTGAGCCTTCCCCAGCTGCTCAGCCACAAAGCCAACATCCCCTCCCCAAAATCCCCTCTCCTACCCTCTGTCCTTAATTTATTTCTCCTCCTTAGCAAGTATCAGTAAGACATGTAATCATTTACCTTGTTTATATCTTCCTTCCCCATCTAGTGTACAGATAGCGTTTTGGTTTGTTCACTGATACATTAGTTAAGGCTGACACAGCGACAAATATTTGTTGAATTACAAAAAAAAAGATAAGATAAAAAATAGAAGTATGCCATCTTTTGCATTCTTGAAAAAAAATACACTTCACCTTTCATCTATGCTTTAACTAGACTGAACTTGACCATAAGTGGTCTACAGTGACACAAAACATTAATGAGGTTTTAAAGCAGCAGGCTCACTCATCAATGGCGATCTCCGAGGGAATCTCAGACCAGAGGCGGGCATATTTCACGGGAGTGACTTGCTCCTGGGGATCTCGGTCCACGTGCATATGAAGCATGAGGCGGCAGAAGGATGCCCTCAGGTCATAGGGCAGGTTCTCATCAGACATGCAGCGGAGAATGAGATCTACATCCAGCTGGCCTGATATTTCATTGATGGCCAGGTACTGGCGGTCTAGACACATCCTAGCAAAAAGGTTCAACTGATACCTGAAGACAAGAAAAGTTATGTGAAGAAATCAGAAATCATTGAGCAAAGGGGCGCCTTGGTGGCACTGTCAGTTAAACGTCCAACTTTGGCTCAGGTCCATCATCTCACGGCCCGTGAGTTCAAGCCCCATGTTAGGCTCTGTAGTGACAGCTCAGAGTCTGTAGCCTGCTTCGGATTCTGTGTCTCCCTCTCTCTCTGCCCCTCCCCTGCTCATGCTCTGTCTCTCTTTCTCAAAATATATAATAAAACATTTAAAACAAGAGAAATTATTGAAGATGAATGGCAACACACAGCAAGACCATTTGAATATCCCCAACTTTCACAGGAGTGACATTTGGCCATCTGATCTTATACATCGACACCCTTAAATTGCCTGTGTACCAAGCAAATGAAGAAACTGTTCAGGCTTTACCACCAGTCATACAAGTCCACGCTGCTGAGTTGGAGTAATTATGTGACTACTTGATTCCATTTGGTCCTTGTTTGTTTTATGAAAAAAAGGGGAGGAAATGTTATATTTAAAATGGTTGTCTATTTCCTCAGCTGTTTTTTTATACAGTAAAGACCATGTAGAAAATGTTAAACATCATCTCCCATACTGAATCTCATAGAAATTTTATCATCCTCTTTGGATCTTATCTCATATCAGCCTACTCTTTGATTTCTACATGAAAAACATGTTGTGCAAAGTAGGGGACTCCTCAAACTGTTTTGTTTTCTTCCTCATCCAACTACATGTGATCTTTGTCACCTTCTGAACTGGACCATAGAAGTACCCTTTCCCATTCACCCTCAGGAGAAGATACATCAGACATTACAAGAAAAAACAACTTGTAATGTGAAATCAAAAAGCTATAAGCTTCCAATGTGGCCAATACTGACTTCTGAATCCAAAATCCTATTTATTATTGATAACCATGAGTTGAAAATGTTCTCAATCTCACTAGATTTCAGTGGATACAGATTAAAATATGATTCTATTTCATGCTTATAAAATTACCAAAGAGTAAAAAGCATCACAATATTCACAGGTAGCAAACACCAGGAGAAACAAAGTTCTCACTCACAACTGGTGTGAGTGTGCACCACAATACCCAATCTAGGATCGCTCAGTAAAACTTGCCAATTCAACAATTCCACTCCTAATAGGAAAGACAAACTCTCACTCATACACATACCTTTTGAATAAGGAGGTCCCTTGACATGAAAAATTAAATTGTGGCATATGATGGACTATCCAAGAGCAACGAAAACATGGCATAATAAAAGGGAATGCCATCCAGAAGTTGAAATTAGAGAAACAGATCTACCACCATTAACACGAGCACATTTCAGAAACAATACAGGATAAATGAGACAAGTACAGTACCATTTACATACAGTCCTAAGAACTGGCAAAATGCTATATATTTTTTATGAATACATACAAATGTAGTAAAACAGAAACACAGAGAATGTAGGAGGGTATACACTACATGCATGAATGGGAGGGAAGAGAACACAGAAGCTATCAAAGGGCACTGTAGCTGCAAAGTTTTACTTGTTAAAAAATGCCCTAAGCACTTTTCCATCTTTGCTTCTCTATTCTTTGAAAGGTTTTCCTTGGCTCTCTTGCCCCTTCATTTCCTTTCCACTGCCTTCCCTTGAGGTGGCAGGGACAGCAGATCTTAAAGCTGGGACCCGGGAGACCCTAGGGTCAGACGAGGTAACCGGCAGAGGTGGAGAGTGAGCAAACAAGGATGCACACCAGGTAAAAGGCCAGCCAGGTTTCTCTCAAGAGTAAGTTATCAATATGGAAAGGTGAAGGCTATAACAACACTATGGTGTGAGAAAGGAACTGGAAGTACAGATGGGGACGGGACTCATGGTTTTATTCTGTATTTGTACAGGGGCACCTGGGTGGCTCAGTCGGTTAACCATCCGACTCTTAACTTAGGCTCAGGTGGTGATCTCATGGTTTGTGAGTTTGAACCCCATGTGAAACTCTGTGCTGATGGTGCAGAGCCTGCTTGGGATTCTCTCTCCCTCTTTCTCTGCCCCTCCCCAACTTGTACTTGCTCCCACGCTCAAAAAAAATATATGTACAGGTATAGAAAGACATATGTTATGTGTGTGTATAAACATACACACATGTATGAATACACGTATTCATGTTCTAGCTCTGTCTGCAAAATTCTATGAGGTTGGCACTACTGTCTGTATTTTGCAGATAAAGGAGCTGGGGCATGAAGAGGTATATGACTTGGCCAAAGGCAAAAAAACCTAGTAAGTAGAAAGGTCAGGATTTGAACACAAGCAATGTGACCACATGATATGCGCCTGTATGCTATTATTCTGTTAAGGACAAATAGTAATGAGGGGCCGATGCAAGCACTCAGTGTTTTCCCTACTTGGCCACGTCCAGGAATCAATTTACTACCTAAGTACCAATGAAACCTTACATGCCCAAATCCTAAAATCTACATCTTTTTGCTAGATAGGTGACAACATGTGATTGTGTGGAGCAATCAATAAGCAAGCAGTAAATTCCTCATCAATTCCCTCCAGGGCAGCCTGAACTGAGCCCAGCAGGACTCCCCATCACCTGTAGTAGCTGAGAACATCGCGGTCCTCCTTCTGCCCTTCTTTGGCATCTTGGGCCAGTTCCCGGACACTTTTGCTGCGAATCTCCTTGTTGCTGTCCCTCCAAAAGAGCCACACCTCTTCCTCGTCTTCTCCTGCTTCCAGAGCATTCTCTCCAGTAGAAACACCCTCAAATTCAAAACGAGAAAGAACCAGCCTGGAAAATAAGAGGAGGAGTAGTGAAAACTCCTTATGTTAGCAATACTTGCTAATCTAAGATCAACTCTAGCAATATATTGAAATCTAGCTTCACTTTCAGCATAGGGGTGCCTGGGTGGCTTAGCTGGTGAGGCAGCCGACTTTGGGCCAGGTCATGATCTCACAGTTTGTGGGTTTGAGCTCCGCACTGGGCTGTGTGCTGACAGCTCACAGCCTGCAGCCTGCTTTGATTCTGTGTCTCCCTGTCTCTTTCTGCCCCTCCTCCACTCAGGCTCTGTCTCTCAAAATTAAATTAAAAAAAAAAAAAAAAAAAAACATAAAAAACTTTTAGCATAAAAACACATAGATAACCTCTTTTTTTTGCCCCTCAATGGCAAAATCACAAAGAGCCAACTTGAACTTCTTCATATACTTTATTCCAGTGGTGCTCAAGCAGGTGATTTTGTCTGCCCTGCACCCTCCCCAGGAGACACTGGGCAATGTCTGCAAACATTTTAGCATTTTTGTTTGTCCCAACTGAGTGGGAGGGGTACAATGAGCATCTAGTGGGTAGAAGCCAAGGATGCTGCTAAACACACAGATAGTCCATCATGATTAACAGTTATTCAGGCCCAAACGCCAAAATGCTGAGAGGTTGCATTAGCCCAAACCCAAAATTAAGTTATGAGAAGCAAAAAAAAAAAAAAAAACCAAAAAAAACAACTAAACAAAAAAAGCAACAAACAAACAAACCCCACTAGAGCTCAGGGCATAATTCAGTTTTGGGTTTTGTTTTGTTTTCTAAACACTGGCCCTATTACTAGTACTGTACTTATCAGGAAAACTGTTCCCCTGATAAAAAATCAATCACTACTATTACCAAAATTTTTATGTACCACTAAACACATTTTCAACAGTGATAATTAAAAAGCTCTTTCCTACAGTGACCTAACATCACCATTGAATTATCTCCTTTCACTTTTAAAACTGGTGATCCTACCCAAAGAACTTTAAACTCTTAACATTAAATCAAGTATGTGCAAAATGCTCTCTGGTGAATTCACATTATTTTTAAGCCAATGTGCAAGGGGGCGCATGGGTGGCTCAGATGGCTAAGTGTCTGCTGATTTCAGCTCAGGTCATGATTTCACAATTTTGTGAGTTCAAGTCCCACATCAGGCTCTGTGCTGACAGTGTGGAGCCTTCTTGGGATTCTCCCTCTCTCTCTCTGCCCCTCCCCTGCTTGCCTTTCTCAAAATAAAACTTTTAAAAATGTATTAAAAAAATAAATATATTCAAAAATAAATAAATAAACCAGTGTGCAAAGTGATACCTATATACAGAGGAGGCCACTCTAAAGGTAAAGTGAATTCCCTTATCAAAGACCTTTGCATAAGCAAGATCCCATGCCAGCTCATCTGACTTCAGACCAAGTCTAAAGAAATCAAAGTGTTGAGTTTTATTATCCTAGAGTGCAGACATCCACTGGACCATACATTCTCCATCTAAATCCCTTCCTCGTCCGTATCTTCAACCCCAATAGCCCCCACTCACTTGGTCTCAATCAGGATGTCAGCATTGGTTGGATTCAGCACAGCTTTACATATCAGTTCCTGGGTCACCGGGATCGATTTGTTCATGGAAACACAGAGGTCGGAGAGGTAATCTAAGAATCTATGGAGAAAGAGAAAGCAAACAAAATGTTTTCTGCAGCCACAGTAGAGGTTTGGCTCTCAGAGCCAGACTCCTCCTCAAGCGGACAGACCCAACGTATCTTCGACACAAGAAACTAGAGACATTTTAGGTTTTGGTGCCAGTGTCTACAGCACCAGCAGAAACCCAGTTGCGCTAAGAGAAGAAATCAAGAAAGGAGAAAAAGAAAAAAGATGGCAAGGGCCAGGGCAGATGAACAGATGATGAGATTAAAATGAAACAAACAAGACAAGGAAGACGTTTGCATAAGGAAGAAATGGTGGAGATGGAGGAGGACCAGAGAGGTGAGGAAAGGCTCTGAGGCCTGAGGGCCCAAGTTGGAATCCCTGTTCTGATTAGTGATATTCTGATATGCAGTGTTACATAGGAATATGTCTTAACCTCACTTTTCTCATCTTCAGGAGAGGGTAACGTAAAACCTTGTAGGACTGTCCTGAGGATTAAATGCAATAATACATGTCAAGTGCTTATTTAGTTGACTCCCTGAACATGAGAATGCTCCATGGAACATTCTTCATCTTTATGGGGTGGGAGGAGTCACTTTATAACAACACTATCAGCTCTCATTGTATCTCAGTGTGACCATTCACCATACCTATATTATAAACTACTTTCCACTGCTTCTGAAACGCTGTAGATCTTAATGAGGAGAAGAAAAGAGGAAAGGGGGGGGAGATCTATGTGAATGAGAAATGACAGAACTGTAATGTAAAATAGAAACACCCAAGTGACAACTAAGTTTGCAAAAGACTCTTACTGATGACACTTGGGGGAGGTGTTCTAAGTGATAATTAGGGGGTGCTAAACTGTGAATAAATGGCCATCACTGTGATTTCCTGTGCGTCTACCAAGTGCCAGGCACTTGACGTGTATTTATTCTCATTCAATTTTCATAAACACCCATTTAGCACAGAAGAAAATTAAAGCTCAAGCGGAAAGAGAAAGTCACCCAGCTGGCCAAGTGCAGAACTAGGATTCCACTACGGGTCTATCCCGATACCGTGTTCTTTCCACTACTCACCCAAGACCCTCTCCAGACCAGCCTAACCGAAATCTGTCACTGGCAGCCCTCCAAAGGAAACCTCGCCAAAAGCACCCTGACTAGCTCAATGCCTGCATCTTCAAGGCACAGACACCTTCGGTGGATCAGATCCACTTCCACCTCACCTGGGCTCCCTGTTCTTTCGCACCAGACTGACAAACGTGTCGATCTCAGCAGCGGTGATGTGTTTTTCCAGGAGTTTTCGGTTATTGTGAAGCAGGGCGGTGATGGTGTCTTCGGCCAACACATCATAGCCAATCTGCTTCTGCATAAAGCCAAACTGCTTGGCTATGTACTCCTTTTAAGGATGAAAAGGGAGGTCAAGCGGGGAGAACAGAAGATTTTAAGGTTAACCCCAAACTAAGCAAGCAGCAACCTTCCCAAGCGAGAAGGACTGTTCATAAGGGAAATCCTAGTGAGGTACCTTTCTACAACTTTCTCATCTAGGTCAACAGCTGCAAACTCCCTCACACCCTTGGTTTTACTAAACCCGCCACACAAATGTAATTAAGCAAATTACCTCGTATGTACAGATGGGCATTTTATCAAGTGCATAGTATAAATATTAATGTGGTGACTTATTTTTCTAAAAGGTCAAAAGCTGTTTTTCAGCTGTGACTTTATTGCTAATTCAAGAGGACTTAACTGTGCTTTATTGCTCTGTGCTGCCGAATAAACATACTTAAACCTACCTAGATGTTTAGAACAGTACCACCCTATTTTGTTTTCTTTATCTGGGGTGAAAATACATTTGCATAGTCAATGGGGAGCAGAATCAAGTGAGGAATACCTAAGCCAGTCAATCATATTCACAGAACGCATAAAAACATTGCTGGCTTCTCTCTTTGGGGAACAGACATGACATTCCATAAAAAATATATGAGAAGTCAGGGAAATCTCTTGTCGGTATTTGTTTCTATTCAGAGACGTTTCCTGCCTAAGACAGACTCAAAGTTCAAACAGCACTTGAAACTTGGTTTAATGTTTCAAAATTAATTCCCAAATCCTAAAAACTACTCAGGGTGTTTACAGTGGACACTGGCCACTTTTCAGCCCATACTTAGTAAGGATGCATGTTTCGTAATTAATCAGCCTTCAGGGACAGACTGCTGCTGGGTGGCAGACAATCCATAACAACAAGCAAAGACATTCAATGTAGCAGCAACAGGTGGGACTGGTTTGGCCTTTTCATGTACAAGCGAAGTGTGCTAGTACACTCTAGAGGCTCTGATGTATCCTCATTGGAAGATGGCAGAGAGGAACAGAACAAAAATCTCTTTGGCACTATTTGAGTATGGTTTTAATGCACTGGCAGAATTAAAGTAACCAGAGCACCCAAAGACAACCTGTCCAGGCTAATGAACAAAGCATCATAGGTATATGATACCTTCTATTTAGATAATAGCAAAGGCTAAGTCAAAAGCTTATACTTGCTAACAAGGTTATATCTAATACTTGAGAGCACTGCTGAAGTTTAACACTTTCTTCATGACAGAACAATTTTCATTACAGAGAGAAGTTTAAATTTAAAGGCCAGATGTGGTGGCAGTCCAAAGTTTACAAACAAAAGCCTTTTATAACACAATGCAGAGAGGAGGAGTCAAGGTTATGATAAGCATCATCTGTGCACCTACACTAATTCAATGCAGTACAAGACTTCTCAGCCTCAGCACTACTGACTCTCTGGGTTGGGTAACTGTTCGTTGTTGGGGGATGTCTTGTGCATTACTGGATGTTCAACAGCATCCGTGGCTTCTACCCACCAGATGCCCCCTCGCGCCATCCCGCCCAAGTTGTGACACTCAAAAAGGTCTCCAGATATTGCCAAGTATTTCCTGGGGGACAAAATTACTCCCAGCCGAGAACTACTAAGTGTGGCAACACAGTTTCCAGGTTTCCTTAGAATGGCAAATTGATGGGAGACCCCAGAGAGGTTAGAAAGTTTATCTCATGAGGACACTATATACAGTGTCATGACACAGATAAGAACTTAGAATACCATAAAACATGAGCCACAACCAAGATAAAGAGAAAGTTACCAGCACAGATGCAAGATATGGAAGGGAGCAAGAAGATTCTACTCTTGCTTTAATATAAACACATGCAATCATTTCCCTGATTTTTAAGATGACGTGCCATAAAAAATACTAGAAATGTACTAACAGTATCAAAAAAAAAAATCTCACTGAAAGGTGGCTGCAGAAGGGGACTTCTTGGGTATCCTTCTTAAGGACTCTAGAATGTATCTTCTTCTCAGGCTTGCAAAAAATCTATTTCCTTTCTACACACAAACCTAATGAACTATTCTCTAGCCATTAAGTAATTACAGATTTAACACTTA